CCTGGCAGCTCACTTGTTCCATGTTCCCAGTGTCACCATATTCCTGAAATTATCCCAAAAAACTCTTCCACTCTTAATATTCCTTATGACAGCAATATGAACTCCTCCAGACTTCCCAATACAAATATCACTGGCACCTGGACAAAGATCATATGCCAAGGAAACAGAATTCCAGTAGAAAAGAGGGTAGTAAGAATTTCTGCCGAGTACTAAATCAAATGTGGGGTTAGAAGCAAGATGGATACAGGCTTCCACTGGAAACTTTTTCATCTTGACCTGCCAAGTGACAAAATTATGAAGGCAAAGAAACTGGAAAAGGGTCTTCACATAAAAGGACAAATAGGGGACAGGTGGTGGCACAATGTTAAACCAACCAGATCAACACAGCCTAGGTCCTAGGACCTCCCTTAAGCATACCAACTCATACCTATGGTCTGGGCTGGCTGAGGCTGGGGATGGATTACAGCATGGAGACCCTATTGGGGGTACGTATCTCTCTCTAATTCTCTTGTGGAAGAAATAAATGAATAAACTTTAGTAAAGGAGACACCTGAGATTCCAAAGACTGTAAAGGAGTTTTTAGGGGAGACCAAAGAAGTAAAAAAACAAAAAAAGTTTATTTTCCCACAAAAGCAATAACAATGGTCCCTGAGTAAATTTGGTTCTGGCAGGCCACATCTGAGAATGTTTTCACTCATCTTATGCTTAGCATATTTTTGAAAAAAATTCTTTACCTTGTTTATGATAAGGTCTACCATGAACTATCACTGATTCTTTCTAGATTATCATGAGTCTTAGAATCCTTGCTGAGATCTAGAACCACATATGGTGGGACCTACACCAAGAAGATACCTCCTGAAAACACCACTGTTGCTCCCTATGTCAGTGGACTCAACATAGAAACTTACTCTTACTCAACTAGAATCCTTTGTCTAAGCCCTGAGTCACTAATGACACAGGATGATAAAAGTTATTTGTGCAATAACACCTAGTGATTATGGACACACAATACCACAGTGATTATAGGATTTTGTTGACACTCTATAGACAAAAATGCAGTAAAAGTTCACAGGCTCTTTCATTTATTGTTCACACTACTTGAGTGTGAAAAGTTATGCTGAGCTAGATGATCCTCTCTCAACACAGATCAAACATGCTGCTTCAGCTGAATCCCATTCCTAGAGTTTCAATGAGAATACTTCTAGCTATTCCTAAAAAAAAGTAGAATTGGCACTATTTAATTTCGATGACCTAAAGAGTAAAAACTGTACTTTGTACTGGACCTAAGAAATTTCACTCACAGGAATTATTTTATTTATATTCATTTATTTGTACATAGTATCATTCTGAAAGAAGAATGGGAGACAACCTACAAAAATGCATATATAAGATACATATAAGATTAAAATATAAGTGGGTTAGTAAATATTTCCCCTTATTGATTTTCCAAATACTGTTAATAACCATGGGTAGTTTTAGCTACTCTGCCTGAAAACTGGAAGTACAGCACATGTGCTCTGATATATGTCTCCCGCTACCTTCAAACTCATTCACGATATTAAGCCAAAGTGTGAAAAAGTACTCCAGGTAAAATAGCCCCGTTGTTAATCTTTGCTGAAGGCAGCATTCCTGAGGAGGCTTTATAATTCCTTGGCTGCTTAACCAGTTTCATCTTTTTAATTTTTGAATGCATCCCATGCCTAGAAACAGGACCTCCTCCAGCCCTCAGGCCTTCACTAGAGTTGGTATTTAATCCTGGGCTGCTGGGGATCAAGACACAAGATCTGGAGCAAGAACAAGAGCCATCACTGCTCCTTAGATCTAGTTTGGCCTGAGAATCTATCTTCTGTCATTTTCTTATATGCCTGTTACTTTGCTTTACCCAAATCTGTTGAGAAATATCTGTCTATTGTGATTATATTTCCAAGCATTTGACCAAATGGTTAGAAACTTCAGTAATCTGGTTAAATGCCAAGTAAAAATGGTCAATCTAAAGAGATTACCAACACTTGTTGAGTGACTTTTGGTTTAAGTAGTTTATCTATCTATCTATCTATCTATCTATCTACCTATCTATCTATTATATTTCTGACTCATGAAAACACATTTAACCCATACTCAGATCCAAATGATAGAAACAGGGAAAAATTAAGCATTCATCTTGTTTCCCTATTAAACTGGATCTTTTAGGAACCAAATAGTTGTTCAAGAGGAGAATTTTTTTATATATAAAAATATTCCAACTCATCAATAAAAGAAAATGCTAAAATTAGACAATACAGTGTCTAAGAAAATAATGAGTCAAGGCAATGACCATAAGAGCTGCCAACTTCACCAAAATGAAAGCACTAGTCATTAAATGTCTCCCAAATGACTTACACATCATCATTTATGGCTTCTGATAAGGCCTCTAACTCCCAATTTGTGGAAAATACAGAGGACCGATGAAATGATCATTCAATCCAGGCTGAGGGAACTAATGTAGGACAAATGATTCAGTTTCTTGAACAAAAAAATTGCAATGAAAAAGACAGGTGAAAGTTTAGATCGAACAAGACTAAATATTTATATCGACTAATTGCAAAGGGTGGGTTCTGTGCAGATCATGCTTAAACAAATGATTTCAAGACCACTTGTGGCTATTCGATGATGTTAAAGAATGTTTTCCTTAGGTACAATCAAAAAATCATTCTTATCTCTTAGAGATTTCTTTTAGAGATACATAGCAAAATATTCATGAATGAATTGATATGAAAGTTAAGATGTGCTTTTAAATAATCCATGATGGAGTAGAAAGAGCAGGTGGCAACACAGATGACATACATGGAGCCAAAACAGTTAACAGTGGAAGTTGAGTGAGAAGTTTCACTACCCTAGTCTATTTTTATTCATGTTTGACATTTTTCATAATAAATAAGGTTAAAAATATATTTTTAAAAAATCAACAGGGAGAAATAATATGAAAGAATGTTCTGTAAAAGATATATAGTCCATCGACTGTTTTAAATCCAGTGAAACCAAGATCTGAGTTAAGCCAGTATGCGCAGCTGAGAAGCACACTGACACCTGCAGGGGTGCAGGAATGGATCATCTCTGGTGGGTTTCATGTGGTCAAAGAGAAGAGCAGTGGGAAAATTAGTTCATGAGACTCTCATGATGCTCACTCGAAGGGTGGCGTCTTCAGTGCTCCTTACAAGTCCTCCTTCTTTTTTTGGAGAGGTTTTTGCTATAGGGCGCGTGTACTCGCCAGACAGACAGA